AAACACCACCACATACGCAGTTCAAGGAGATGAAAGAAAAAACTTGCGCAGTTGAGGAGAACATGAAATATAAAAGAAGAAACAAAAATTCTAGAACTAAAAAGCAATACTACAAATTCATAATTCATTAGCGACAGCTGAAGATATAATTCACAAACTGGAGGATAGGTCCAATACATGTAGACTGAAGCTCAGAGACACAAAAAGACAGTAAATATAAAGACAGAAGATGGTGGGTGAAATACGAAATACAAGAGGTTTACAAGAGGTCTTATATACGTGTAATTAGAGTCCTAAAAGGTAAAGAGTGAGAAAATGGAGCAGAAGCAATCTTTAAAGAGATAACAGCTGCCAATTTTTCAAAACTGAGGGAAAAACAACAATTCAAGAAGTACTGTGAACCCCAAACAGCACAAAGCCACCTAGGCACATCACAGCAAAACTGCTGAAAACCAAATACAAAGAAAAATCTTAAAAGTAGTCAGAGGAGGGGGGAGCCTTGGTGGCTCAGTCAGTTGAGCATCCGACTCTTGATTTCGGTTTAGGTCATAATCTCAGAGTCGTGGGATCGAGCCCCACATCAGGCTCCCCACTCGATGAGGAGTCTGCTTGAGATGCTCTCTCTCTCTCTCTCCCCCCCTCCCCTGGCTTGCACGCGAGCATGCGCGCATGCACGCTCGCTCGCTTGCTCTCTCTCTCAGATAAATAAATAAATAAAATCTTAAAAAGATAAAAAGTTTTTTAAAAAAAGCACTCAGAAAAAAACATGTTGCTTGCAAAGGAGCAATAATTAAACTGTCGACTGGTTTCTCAACAGAAAGGACAGAAATCAGAAGACAATGGAATGGAATGGGACGCCTGGCTAGCTCAGTCAGAAAAGCATCTCAAGGTCATAAATTCGAGCTCCACGTTGGGTGTAGAGATCACTAAAAAAATAAATAAATACAAAAGAAATGACAATGGAATGAAAGCTTTAAAGTGTTGAAAGAAGTTGACAGCTGCCAACCTAGAAATCTGTAACTGGGAAAAATATCCTTTAAGAGGGAAGGTGAAATTAAAGACATTTTCAGAGAAACAAAAATGGAGAAAATTTGACACCAGCATACCTGCATGACAGGTAGAAGGAGCACGATCTCAGTTGAGGCTTAAAGATGTAGGAAGCAATAAGAAGCAGCAGAGAATATAAATATATGGATAAATATAAATAAATATTCACTGTCAAAAACAATTAAAATACTTACGGTCTTTGAGGTTTACAATACTATTACAAGAAATAAAGAGGGACGTTACACATGATAAATTGAACACTTCATCAGAAAGTCAAACCGATCTTAAATACGTATGCACCTAATAACAAAGCATCAGAATTCATGAAGCAAATATTGACAGAACTAAAAGAATAAACTATATCTGTGGTCTCTCAGTAATCGATAAAACAAGCAGACAAAACCAATAAGGACGGAAAAGATCTAAACACATTATCAACCAACTTGACCTAACTGACACTTCTAAAGCACTACACCCAACAACTGCAGAATATACCATTTTTCAAGTTCATATGAAACATTTACCAAGGTATAGTATATGCTGGGTCATAAAATGAATCTCAATAAATTTCAAAACACTTAAAAGAAAACAACACAATGAGGTATTACTACACATTCAGCAAAATTACTAAAATTAAAACCTTCTAGGAAATAGAAATGAATAGATCCTGCCTAAGGTATTATATGTGAGAAGTATACATTTACTAAAACTCATTAAGCTGAAACATTAAGACCTGTGCATTTTACTATATGTAATTATAGCTCCATTTTTTAAAATTGACTTACAATGCCAAGTTTTGAGAGGAGGCACAGCAAACTGGAACACTCATACATGGCTGGTAAGCGTGTAAATGGTACAACAATGCTAGAAAACTGTGAGTACCTGCCAAAGCTGAACACATGCAGCCAGTGACTCAGCAAATTTACTCCTAGATATTTACCCAAAAGAAATATGTTCCATTTAAATTTTTATTTATTTAAGTAATCTTGATCCCCAACATGGGGCTTGAACTCATGACCCTGAGATCAAGAGTCGCAGGCTCCTCTAAGCCAGCCAGGAGCCCCAGAAATATGTTTCTTTTAAAAGGCACCAAAGAGGGCGCCTGGGTGGCTCAGTCGTTAAGCGTCTGCCTTCGGCTCAGGTCATGATCCCAGGGTCCTGGGATCGAGTCCCACTTTCGGGCTCCCTGCTCGGCAGGAAGCCTGCTTCTACCTCTCCCACTCCCCCTGCTTGTGTTCCTGCTCTCGCTATTTCTCTCTCTGTCAAATAAATAAATAAATAAATAAAATCTTAAAAAAAAAAAAGGCACCAAAGAGGGGCTCCTGGGTGGCTCAGTCAGTCAAGTGCCCAACTCTTGATTTTGGCTCAGGTCATGATCTTGGGGTCGTGACATCAAGCCCCAAGTCAGGCTCTACACTCAGCAGGGAGTCTGCTTGAGATTCTCTCTTTACCTCTCCCTCTGCCTCTCTCCCCACTCGTGCACTCTCTCTCTCTCTCAAATAAATAAATAAATCTTTAAAAGGCACCAAGGATTTGTAAAAAAAAGAGTTCTTAGTATCACTATCAGATTAGCAGAAACCTTCCTTAGTCTAATAAGGTGTCTTTAAAAACAAAAAAACTACAGCAAACATTACTTTTAATCAGAAATGATGAAAGCCTTCCCCTGAGACAAGAATGCTACCTATCATCACTTCCAATCAACACTGTACTGGCGATCCTAGCCAGTGCAATAAAGCAAGAAAAATTAATTAAAAGTACAAGAATTGGAATGAAGAAAAAAAGCATTAATTACACATGATGTGACTACTTTCGTAGAAAATTCTTAAGAAGTTTCGATTAAAATCACTCAAATTAATACATAAATTTAGTAAAGTCTCTGGATACAAGGTCAATTTATAAAAATGTATTACCTTTATATCAATAAATAATGAGAATTTTAAACTATACTGTTTACAGTACCATCAAAAAGATTACCTAGAAAAAGTACAGGGGCAGGGAAACTATTTGACAAAATTCAAAATCCCTTTATGACTAAACGTCCAAGCAAACTAGACATAGAAGGAAACTTCCTCAATCTGATAAAGGGCACCAATGAAAAATCTACAGCTAGCATCATACCTAATCCTATATGTTTTCTCCCTAAAATTGAGACCCAGACAGGGAGCTCTGCTCTCACCACTTCTATTCAACATTGCAATGGAAGTCCCAGCCAGTGCAATGAGGCAAGAAAAAGGAATAAAGGAATACAGAAGGTAAAAGAAGTAAACAATAGAAGAAAAAATAATGGAGTAAGAACAAACCAAAACAATATGGTAAGTGAAAAAAAAAGAAATACAGAATAGGAGAGACCAAAAAAAGCACAAAATAAGATGGCAAATAGAATCTCAGAACACCAATAATTACATTAAATTTAAATGAAATGCTGTATTAAAAAAAATTACTGGAATGGATTTTTTTTTTTTAAGATTTTATTTATTTATTTGACAGAGAAAGACACAGCGAGAGAGGGAACACAAACGGGGAGTGGGAGAGGGAGAAGCAGACTCCCTGCCGAGCAGGGAGCCCGATGCGGGACTCGATCCCGGGACTCCAGGATCATGACCTGAGCCGAAGGCAGTCGCTTAACCAACTGAGCCACCCAGGTGCCCTGGAATGGATTTTTTTTTAAAGACACATGTAAAAATATAAGGACACCAAAAGGTGTTCACTTCCAGTGAAAGGGTGGAATATGATCCATCAGGAATCCTTAGGTATGGCTGGCAGGTATGCAGCCTGGTGCTGCCATTCCCAAGAACACCTTGGAAGTCCTTAGTAACTACACACATCTCACTGACCTGGCAATTTGCTCCCATGTACACGTCCAAGAAATTCTCACATGGTTCCACAAAAAGAGAAAGGAAGTATAGGAAGATGCCCACAGCAATTATCTATGATAGCAAGCTTAGGACTCACACCACAGAGAATGACACCACAGGGTGGGCACAGCCCAGCTGTACACCATGCAATATGAATGGGTCTTACAAATAAAAACACTGTGCTGAATGCAAAAAAGTAAGGGAGTTCATTGTATCCACAAAACAATGTAGACTTTTCAAAACACAAAGTAGCTCAGTCAGTAGACCATGCAGCTCTTGATCTTGGGGTCGTGAGTTTGAGCCCTCTGTTGGGTGTAGAGTTTAAAAAAAACAAAACAAAACTTTAACTTAAAAATCAATCAATCAATCAATCACACAAACAATGAAAAGGACATACAGACTGGTTGCTTATGGGGTGAGAGGGAAATGGAAAGGTTACGTGAGATTAAATATATAAGATGGTACGGGGTGGGTTGGGCTTGCCCAGACCAGTGATGATCACCTGCCATGAGCTGAGAAGTTGGACCACCTCCACCCTCTCTATCCCTATGACCAAGCACAAAAGAAACACAGACGTGGCAAAGGGAGACCTTGCTTACAGCCCATGAAACGGTCTAAACCTAGATGGAATGCAAATCCAGTGGCCACACCAAGAGGACCCAGGCATGGTGCAGAGTGTGATGTGTGCCCCAGGGCCCACAAGATGATACCTACACAAATCACATACAATCCCCTGCCAGGTGCATGCATATGCTACAGGGTATACTCACACCAAGGTGTGCATCTTTGCTGGTCCAGGTACATACCCAGGGGTGAGCCACAGGGCCAGCTGAGGCCACGAGCCCTGAGAAAACTGCTCAGCCCGAGACTGAGTGAGCCAGGTAAGCTGGAGCCCTTGAGGGTTGGGGAGAGAGGGGCAAGGGACTAACTGAGCAAGCCCAGAACAGGAGCTCCCATCCCTTACCCCCATCCCTGGTCCAGTGCTCTAGCATCTTGAGGGGGCTGCGAGGCCAGAGGGGCAGGGCTATTTCTCTTTCAGGCACACTCCTGCTGGGGGGCGGGCTCAGGCCTCCTACCCTGCGACCACTGTGCACCCACCTGGCCTCAGGCCCGGCACAGCTTCCCTCGCTGCCCACAAATTTCTTCAGCTCATCAGAGCAGCAGTATTGGTTGTAACAGTTGCCACAGCAGAAATCAGGACAGGACTCGGGGAAGAATTTGCGTCCACGGGAAGCCACACATACTTCACTGTGGGCTGGAGCGGAAAAGCACACTTGTTAATTGGTGGCTATAGGGCCAGGCCTCACGCCAAATCTCAGCCATGTCCCAGCCCACGTAGCCCCTCCCTTAGCACTGCCTTGCCCTCCCCTCTGTCCCACAGCAGAGGCACCTAACCGGGCTCCCTCTCTCCTCTACCAGCCACTTGCCTTCTGATGAAGACTGACCTTCCTAAGTGGGAGTTTGGAGGGGCCACTTCCCGCTCGTGGACCATCCCTGGTCTCCACTGCCTCAGGATCAAGTCCAGGGTCCACAAAGCAGGCTCTGGACTGCAAAGGGCTTTGATGGTCACCCCAACTTTCTAGCTCTATCCACACTCGGCCCATATTCTTGCCTGTTTCCCGTTCCCTGTCTTCAAATCTACTCATCTTTCACGGCCTTACTCCAGTCCCCCTCCTCTAGAAGCTGCCCAAGCCCAGCAGTCAGAGCTGAACAGTAACGCCCCCAACCAGCTGCTGGGGCCCAGGCACTGAACCAACCCATTCTCAATCCTTACTCCCTCCCCTCACCACTCAGTGCCTCTGCTAGACCCTGGATTCCAGGGCCCTGGCGCTCACAGACCACGCCCTCAAGGCAGGCTCACCTTCAGCCACGGCCATACCCACCATAAATGTCTGGCCATACCCACCATAAATGTCCGTGAAGCACTTAGCCCTGGGCTGGGCCTGCAGCAGGTGCCTAGGAAACGTTTATGCAATTGGTGGCCAGGGCTCTGAGGCAGTGGCACCACTTTAAGCCCCAGAACCATTTCAAGGCTCTCAGCCAGAGTAGGGATCCAAGGACTTTCCCACAGGCTGGGGTAAGGACAGAGCTCCAGTATTCCAGGTCAAACTGAGAGGACCTGGCTGACAAGTGTGGGAAATGACCCAGGGCTTTGGGAGACCACAAGGCCTGCAAACTTCCAGGAAGAAGCTACAGCCAAATGTTCCCATGCATCCTTAAGCTACATTAGCAGAGATCTAGTGCCCACCAGCAGGAGGGGGGCAGTCCCAGATTGTGCCTGGACAGACCCCGAATAGAACACCCAGTCCAGCAAGGCCCAGGTGGCTATGGTCCTGGAGACAGGTCTGATGACAAACCCTGACGTATGGCTATGTCTCCTGGAAACAGTCCTGGCTCAGCACCTGGACCCGGGGGACCCAGACTGGCCAGAGCCCCAGGGCAGCGTGCCATGTCTGGAGACTCAGCCTGGTCAGTGTATCACATACAGAGCAAGTCCCAAAGACAGAGGCACTGAGTGACCTCCTTGAGAAGAGATAACTAGGAAGGGGATGGGGGACGGGGGCGGGGTGCTCCGTTCTTGGCAGGTTCAGGCAGAACCCTGCTCTGGGCAAAGTTGCAGGCGCAGAGGACCTGACCACTCCCAGGCTCCCCCCAGCCAGCTGTCCACCTGACAGCAGGTATGGTCAGCATGGCCTGCGCTGCTGGGTAACTCAGGTGACCCACCTCCAGCAGGGTCCTTTCGGCCTCTATGGCCACAGCCCAGCCTCTAAGCTGGGGCTGAAGACACACACCCCTTGCACTGTTTGGGCCAAGAGCCCACGACAGAAATGCTCTTCTGGGCCCCAGACACGCTGGACGAGGCTTGCCAGATCTCACTGGACCAGGGACCTGGGCTCCACCTTCTTACTTTCCCACCCCAGGTCCCCAGGGGCATCTCAGCCCCCCAGGAAATAAAGCCCTTTTCCTCGAGAAAGCCACTCACCCCACAGGGATCGCTCTGCTTCCTCGGGCTGGGCAAGGGGATGTTCCAATTCCTACCCTGAAATGGCCCCCAGCCTGGCCGCCTCCATCGGTGAATCATCAGTCTACCATCAACACACACAGTGGTGTTTCCTCCAACCCGGGAGACCAGCCTCAGGCGTCCCCAGGAACACCAGGGCCATGGGAGCAGGGGGTGGGGGAGTCCAGCCAGTAAATAGGGCCGAAGGGAAGGCCTCTGACAGAGGGGCCAGGCCTCCCTCCTGCCACCACCCTAGGCTAAGGCCAGGCAGGGACTCCTACCCCAGCCCCTGGGGACGCAATCCCGTGGAACATCTAAGGGAGCACAGATCCCACCACTACCACCATTACCCAGGGCACAGCAATGGTGGGAACTTCCTAGAGTCTGTTCAGACACGGGGGTGCTGAGTGAGGTCAGGTCAGTCCTGGGGGTTGGCTGGCTGCCTTGGGGTTATTGGGGGTAGGGGACACTGGGGATGGTGCTGCCTGGGCTCGCTCCAGGGACGCACGAACGTGGCTGCCCCCCTCCCAGACTCACTGTCCCTGCCCGGGACGCACTGCCCCCACCCCGCGAGGCTCACCACCTGGAGGCGGGGGGAGCAGCAGCACCAGCAGCAGGATCCGTGGCGCGGGGACCCACGCAGCCATGGCTGGGCGGCGGACTGACACGAGGACAGACGGACAGAAGCGGCAGGGGTTGAGACACCGCCGCAGCTTCAGCGACCCGGGCGGCCACCGCTTCCTCGCCCCGCCCTTGGCGGCCTGTTCCGGGAACCCCGCCCGGAGGAGGGAGTGGAGGGGAGGAGAGCGAGGCCAGGGAGGGGGAGCGGACGCCCCTCCCAGCCTCCGGGCCGGGCCCACGTCCAGGGGCCACGCGGACACTCCAGCTCATTCGGGGCGCTGGCGGCGCCTGGTGAGCCCCGACGTCGCCTTCTGGGCGCGGGATACTTTCCGCCTCCCTCCCCTGTTCCCAGCCCTTGGCCCGGAGGGGGTCTTGGGTGGAGGGGATCTGCATCCGAACACTTGGGAGGCAGGACACAGGCCCTCCTCGCGGCAGGGGGGCCCCTCCTGTCCAGCGGATCCTCTCTCCGGACCCACCTGGGAGCCGGGGACCAGGTGAGGTGGTGGGAACAGTGCCCAGAGCAGACCTGGGCACACAGTCGGCACTCAGTAAATGCCAGTCCCTCCTGCAAGCCTAATCCAGAGGCTCTGAGGAGGCTCCATCCCCTTGTCCCCTGGGTTGACAGCTCTATCCCCGCAGTCATCCTACCCCCCAGCCCAGGCAGGCTCACCCCGCCTCTGAGGGCAAGCCTGGTTCAGATGGGCTGATCTGAGGATGGGAACTGGCAGCTCCCGGGCACACTAGGCCGCCTCCTGGCTCAGGGGAGTCTGGCTGGCCCGAATTCGTGTCTGTTCCAGGACCATGTGCTCACCCAAGACTCCTTGAGATGGCACAGTGGCTGTGGCCCTGCCATTCACTGTGGGGCAGGGGTCTGGGCAGAGCCAGGGAAACGGAGAAGGAGCACGGTCTGGAGTCTGTCCCAGCTGCTACAACAAAACATCATAGACTCGGGGGCTTATAAACCACAGTTCTGCCAACTGGGAAGTCCAAGATCAAGTTGCCAGCAGATTCTGTGTCTGATGAGAGTTTCCGGGTTCATAGATGATTGTCTTTTCCCTGTGTTTTCACTTGGCAGAAGGACCAAGAGACCTCTCTGGGGCCTCTTCTATAAGGACATTCACCCCCATTCATGAGGGCTCCACCCTCAAGATCTCATCACCTCCCAAAGGCCCCACCTCCAAATACCATCACCTTGGGGTTAGAATTTCAACATCTGAATTTGGGGAGGGCACAGGTGTTCGATCTATGGCCAGCATTTTTTTACCCAGGGTTTCTGACCTGCCGCCCACCCCACACCTGGCACATCCAGGACATCGTACTCAAGGCAGAAAACATGAAATGTCACACTGACTGGGCACCTGGGCCAGTGAATACACCCCGTGTGCCACCGCATGTTTCTCACCTGAGGACAGGGGCATCGCTGGGACAAAGAGACCCCAGAGGACAACCTGGGAGGTCCTCAGTGCGGTTCCCCAGGCTGGGGTGTGAGAAGAGGGAGGAGACAGCTAGGCCAGGAGCCACCACCTGGTCGGGAAGGGCTCAGGACTCACGAGACAGAGACATCGCTGTCCCCGGGCAAAATGAGGAGCCCTCCCTGACACGGCTCAGCCTCATCCTGCCCCGCTGCCTCTGCACCCCCCCCCCCCGCCCCCAGCAATACGGTCTGAAGTTGGACGCAGCCCAGGTCCCCCTTCTGCACGCCCAACAGCCACCACATGCTCCCCTCCACCTGCACCTGTCCAGCCAGCCTCTGACCCCTCGTTCCACACCCTGGGTGCCCAGCCTTCTGCGTCCCACAAACTCGGTCTCTCTTCATAACATAGGCCCTGCCCCCAGCAAAGCTTCTCAGAGCTGTCCTTTCTTACGTCCTGTCACCTGTCTTGGCCTCTCTGCTCTGACACCCCCACCCCATTTCCTCTCGGGGCCTCTCCCCTGGCCTCATCCTCCCTGACCTTTCCAGGATTGGGGTCCCCATGCCCTCTCATCTTCCTATACCTCAAAAAGTGGGAAACCTTCATGGGGGAGTACCGTGCGGGCTCCGTGGCCCACCCAGAGCTGTGCACGGACAGGAAGGGCCGGAGGCCAGGAACAGCCCGAGGCTGGGAAAATCACAGCCATGCATCCCACCAGCGTGTGTCCATGTGGGGGAGGACACCAAGTCTGTGTAGCTGGGAAATGGTCACTTCCACAAGCCGCCTGGGGAAATCAGCCCCTCCGAGGCAGAAACCAAACTCCCTGTGCCAAATGTGGGGGTCTCAACAAGATGGAGGGTCCTCCAATCCGACTCTTGATCTCAGGGTCGTGAGTTCAAGTCCCACATTGGGTGTAGAGTTTACATAAAAAAAAAAAGTGTACTCAACAAGAGTGAGGGTCCTACAGGCAGGACACATGAGGTAAGGACCCAGACAGCTGGACTAGCTCAGCAAACACAGTGCCAGGCCACGTGTATGGGACGGAGGTGCCTGGCAGTGGGGCTGCTGGACTCAGAGGCAGCCCTCTGACAGCCTGTCTCCTCGGGCCTCCCCCACCCGCTCTTCATTCCAGCCGGTGCCCTTCCCTGCTTAGAAATAGACCCTACCTTAAATTCTGCCCCTTTCCCATCTGGTCTACATGAAATGGCTCACACCTCATTTCAGGGCACACACCACTCCCCCAACTGCTGTTCCCCTGTCCCAGGCCACTGGCACCACAGGGTCCTCTCCTATGTCCTCACCCTCCTCCTCTGCGTTTCCGCCTTGCACTCCCTGCTAGTGTCCCGGACCACCTGATCCTCACCTTCCCCACCTTCCACCCACAACTCTACTCTTGCCCCCTCCCTGCCCTGAGCTCTCTGCCAGCTGACTTGGCCTCTGAGATTCACCACAGTCCATTCACCTGTGGTGTCTTGGCCTCTGAGATTCACCACTGTCCATTCACCACAGTCCAGGCCCTGAGGACGCCCAGAATACCACCTCCCAAGAGCTCCTGGGCCACCACAGACAACTCACACCTGTCTCCCCAGTTCCACCTGGTCACCCAGGCTGGTGCTCAACTCCCCCCACTCTGCCACTCTCACCTCTAGAACATTCTTTTACTTACCACTGACCCAACTCTGGTCTTACCACCTCTCTCCATGCTTCCAGTCTTGAACTTCCTAGAGAACAAATCAGTAGTCAACCCCCCCACCCCATCACCACCACTCTAAATCCTGCAAGGACTCCCCATGGCTCTTAAGGTAAAGTTCCAATTTCAGTCCCAGCAGTAAAATGGGGCTCCTCGTGCTTCCTGGCCACCACACACATCCCCCTCACCCTCTCTGGCTCACCCTTTAGGTCCCAGTTTAAAACACCACCTCCTTCAGGAAGCCTCCCAAGATGTCAAGTCTGAGTTAGGGTGCCCCTCTATGTTCCCACAGCCCTTGTGACTCCCCCAGCCCAACACCAAACCCTGGGTCATATGGGTGTCTTCTGCTACTCTGGGGGAGTCAATGAGACTGGGGTAGTGTCTGTCTTCTGTATCCAGCACAAGGGCCATGCACATAGTAGGTGCCGGATAACTGAGGAAAAAGGAAAGACAGGATCCCTTTCAGCCCACTGGCCACTTTCCCCTGAGTACCAGGCCTGAATCACTCCCCTCGGGGATGGGCTGCCTCAGTGCCCCCAGTCCTCTGTGCTCCCCATAGTAGGGACCTGTGGCAGCAGCTTGTCTTGACTTTCCCTTCCGGGTCCACCCTCCACCTTACCTTGTCCTGGGGCTCCCTCTTCCTGGGCTTCTTGTTGGGCTTGGCAAATAGAAGGTGGGAGGTCAGAGTCTGCGTGGGTGGGGCTGCCCCCCCACTCTACTTCCCCAAACTCCTGCCTGCCGTCAACACACCCCACCCCATAGCACTCCTCTCTCCTAGGTCCCTCTCAGGGCCATATGCTGAGATATTGAGACTTTATCTAGAGGCCACAGGAGTGAATGCCTTGAGAGATCCCTCTGGTGGGCAGATTACGGGAACTGACACGGGATGTGTGGGGGCCAATCTGGGGCTAAGGCGTGGTCCCACACCAGGTTTGGGTAACCCTTCCCCACCTTGACCCCACAGGCCTAGGGATGGAAAGGGCTTCTTGTTTTTTGTTCTTTTTTTTTTGTTCTTTCTTTCTTTCTTTATTTTTAAAGATTTTATTTATTTAAGACAGAGAATGAGACAGAGCACATGAGAGGGGTTAGGGTCAGAGGGAGAAGCAGACTCCCTGCTGAGCAGGGATCCCGATGCGGGACTCGATTCAGGGACTCCGGGATCATGACCTGAGCCGAAGGCAGTCGCTTAACCAACTGAGCCACCCAGGCGCCCTTGTTTTGTTTTTTTTTTAAGATTTTATTTATTTATTTGAGATAGAGTGAGAGAGAGAGAGCAAGCACACGCATGCGCACACACACACACACACACACACACAGGAGCGGAGGGTGGGAGGGACAGAGGGAGAGGGAGAAGCAGGCTCTCCACCGAGCAGGGAGCCCGACTAGGGGCTCAGTCCCGCCCCCGCCAAGGCAGACATTAAACCGACTGAGCCCCCCAGATGCCCGGGAAAGGGCTCCTCCTGATGTTACCCCCCCCGGTGCTGCCCCAACCTAGGTGGCCCCTTGAACCTATCTACAGCCCTGTAAAGAGCACTTGTATTGAGCTCTTCTCAAACACCCAGCTTGACGAGAATGGGACCTTCGCTTACGGTGGGTGGCCAAGCTGTGATGGGAATTCCACGTGGGGCCGGCAGCCCAGAGCAACACCCAGTGATGCCCAGACGGCCCACTCCTGACGCGGATGCGGCCCATCAGCCTGGGACTGAGCCTCGGGGCCAGGAGCAGTGAGTGCTGTTAAAAAAGAAAACCACAGGCCCAAAAAGGTGTTCCTCAGACCAAGTTCCCAAACCAGGGCTTGATCCCCAGTCTAATTGTGGTTTCAGCCTCCCCCAGATATGTGGCTGTAACCGGTCAGTCGGGGACTGTTTGATCAGCTCCACTGAGTCGGCCACCTGCTCATCTCCCATCCCTCAAAGAAAGATGAGGTCATCTGCCTGATAAGACACCTGCTTTGCCCCCTAGAAAGCGGCGGGGCCTGGAACAATCCTTTTCTTTTGCTCATATGAAACTTTCTTGCGTCTACCCTCCTTCTATAGAAACCCTC